GGTCCTCTAGGTATGTCTCATGTATTCTTTGTGTGCCCCTCCAATGCCAACTGACACTAGCTGACCCTGTGCTGCCAGCAGATAACCTGGACACTGGTGATTTCGAAGCCTACGATGGGAACTACGATGGGAACCTCGAAGGTGCTGGTAGCCTAGGTAAGCATGCACCATATTCACCTGTATCGCTTACTGATTCTTTTGCATAGCCAACAGCCAGCGACATTCTGTTGAACTGCAACCTGCAATACCTCCTCCACAGCCCATTGAATTCAAAACGATGTATCATCCTTCTGCTGGTCGTGAACCACTCCTTCAAACATTTGAGGAGTTCGGCGTCAATTCGCATCCTGAGGAAGAGCTTCCTGTAGATGAAGAGCCCAGGCATCCTTTCTGTTCCCGTGGCGACTTCGAGTTTGCGGAGATCACACTCAATGCCGCACTCAATAAGTCACACATTGATGTGCTCCTTGCGCTCATTGGTCGCATATTGAGAGGAGAGAGCCAAGTAACTTTTGCAAATGATAATGAGCTGCACAAAGCTTGGGAACACGCAGCTGCTCAGGTGATGCCAGTATATCATTAATAAATCTCACATTTTGTATGATATATGTTGTGAATTAGTTTGTAAAACATGACATCGCCGTTCCTTACAAAAAAGAACAATGAGTGTATGAGACCCACGGGCTGCCTCTGTGGGACTGGGCTCTTGATTTGTTAGCTAATCCGCTGCTTGCTCCGCATTTTGTCTGGGATGCACAACGAGTTTTCAAGCACAACGGCAGGGTGTTTGAACATTTTTACAACAAGCCTTGGATGGGTGATCGATGGTGGGACGTCCAGGCATGTAATATTTGTTAATATCACTATCTACTCTCACTCAGCATCAACAAATCAGAGTCGCCTTCCAAATGACATTAAGGCTGCTCCATTCTGCTTCATCCTATATGCAGACAAGACAAGACTGTCGTCCCATGGTACAGTAAAGGGATATCCTGTCGTGGTCCATTGCGCAAATTTGCCAGTTGGCATACGGAACAGAGAGGGCATTGGCAGTGGCCATGTTGTCGGGTGGTTGCCAATCGTACGTCAACATTCTGATCGAATCTTCTGACATGACTCATTATAGTTGCAGGTATCTGAAGATGCAGATGAAGAAGGCAAACCAGGCTTCGTAAACCTCAAGCGTGTCATATGGCACGAGGCATTCTTAAAACTGTTGGAACTGGTCGTGCAACACTCAAAGTCTGGTTATTCACATACTTGCTATGACAAGATCACACACTGGCTGTTTCCCATTATTCTGATACTTTCTGCTGATTATGAAGAACAGTAAGTTCTATATTCTTACACATGTCCGCAATCTGATATTAGACTGTTTTTAGATGCATGATGTCTCTCATTCGCAGCCACCATAGCAAATGTCCCTGTCCGGTATGTCTTGTACCGCTCGAAGAACTTAGCGAGCTGTCAAAGACATTTGCATTTAGAACAGTGGAAGAAGCAATAGCCGCACTCAATGTTTACAAGGTCAGCAAAGCTCGAGGCGAGGAACTACTCAAGGCATTAGGACTGCGTGCTGTCGTGGTAAGTTATCGGCAATATTCACTCTCTCGTTTCGCCTCCATGTTTTCGTTATCTCAATCCTGACGGTTTGCACTGCTGCTCACTCATTCACATTTACACACCCAGTCCAGTGAAAACTTGTCTACTGACAACCCTCCCTCTTCCTGCCCATCTCCTTCATATCTCGTTATCCCATACAATTCTGATCTTCGCTAATATCTCATCAACAGAATGTTTTCTGGCTCATTGCGCACTCTGACCCTCATCAAGCCATCAGTTTTGACCGCCTTCATGCCCTCCATCTTGGTATGTGGAGGCACCTACTCGAGGAGTTGAAGAAAATCCTCAAAGTGCTTGGATGTGATGAAGAGTCAAAGGTTAAGAAATGGTAAGTCATTCACATCATGATTCTCATCAACTCATGACCTTCAGTAGGGTTGCTAGTTTCCCTCGATGGCACAATCTTAATCATTTCAGCACCATCATCCACATTACCTTCAGTGATGGTAACAAGATGCAAGATCTATCCAAGGTATGTATCATGAGGCTTTTGGCTTTCTAATACTAACAGATGCGCAGCAAGCCTTTTATTCTGCAGTAAACGTCTTGAACCAGAGGACTAGCCCAGAAGGGTATAAACTTCTCCACGTTATTAGTAGCTATCTGCAATTGGATAGCTATATTGGTCTCGACATGCATATGTCAAGCACGCTGGCAGCAATTGATGCTGAACTACTTGTTTTTGATAGTGCACTCAAGGTAAATGTTTTGTTCATTCACTTTTTAAATAGATTGCTGATCACACATTCTAGGACTACATCAAATGTGCTCTCTATTCTCCCATCATAGGTCTTAAGCTTGACTGGGACTTTCCAAAGGTGCATCTCTGGAAGCACGCAACTAGGGACATCCGAATGAAGGGTGCAGTATGCAACTACAGCACCCGTCCGAATGAGAAGCTTCATGGCCCCCTCAAAGAGGCCTATGAGCGCCAGTCAAATGGAAAGGACGTCGCTGACCAGGTATGTTTCTAACATCATAGCATCTGATGTTTGCTCATGTAAAGATCTTGTTAGATACTGTGTGTTGACAAGCGCAAATTCGCAGTCAAAATGTTGAGAGCGCACGTGGATGTGCTTGACGAGCGGTGCACATTGGCAGGAGAGGGCAATGATGACGATGAAGACCCGAATCCTGTTGCTTTTGAGGGGCACATCAAACTTGGTTCCATGCAACAGCCTGTAGCCATCCAAGACATTGAGACCCATAGCAGCCAATTGGATCGTGCGTTTCAAGGCTTTCATAAGAAGTTTTCCGATTTTATCAACAACTCATTACCAACATACGGATATCGACTGGAAAGATGGGTCACCATACTGACAAACTTCTTGGTGAGTTGATCTTGTTTTAGTATGTGTCTTGTACTGATTTATGTATTTCTGAACCAGATTCATGAACATCGCTTTCTCAAAGTTCACTATGAGTCTACCATCGACTGGAAGCAAACTACCAACTACCTTCGATGCACTCCAGGCTTCCATGGGCAACCGCGCTATGACTGCGCACTTATACAACTCACCCAGGAAGTATCAGTCTTTGTTCGCCTTGTTTTATATTCAGTTGTCAGCTTCTGGATGTTGGTTCCTTCGAGTTTGCACTGGTTCAGCCATTCACTGCTGGCATTGGTGCTTCTCGCAGGTCGGACCGTGATCTACAACTTACTTGTGTCAAAGCCGTCCCAAGGGCAAGTTCGATCTTCGTTCCAGTCCAGTCTTTCATTCGTGGCGCTGTTTGTTTCCCTGATCCCCATTCCCGCACCACAACTTCTGTCATCTTCACACATCACTTATGCTCCGACATCTGCGAGTTGTGCTGACGTGAATGCAGTTGCCACTGTCAACTACCAGACTGCAATGTCTATCAGCAATCCGGGAGGGCCTGCCACCACCACTCAGCTCCAACTCGAAGTTGACATTGGCCAGCTCTCGCTGGATGGCGCTAGAACTGACTTAACGCCATCTGCATCCAAGGGTGGTAGGGTGTCTGCGGCTCAACATCAAGCTATCGCTCAGGCTGCTCAGACTCCGGTGGACTCAGACATGGTCCCTGGTGTTCCTTTGGCTCCTCCTCCAGCACTCAAGCGTGTTACACGCAATGGTGGTGCCAAACCAAGGAAGGTGTCGGGGAGGAAGTAATTTTAGTGGAATCTGAGTCTCACTTTAATTTGTTGATCCTGTCGCCCTCTGATTTGTTTACATTTACCTACAACTGTAAATGCTAACTCCAGCTTACCCATTGTCACCTTCCAACAGCTATTAATTCTTGGACGCCCCGCCCAACAGCACATTGCGCATCTCTTGATTCAGCATTCAAATGATTACTAAGTCATAAAATTCCATCCCAATTAGGGTAGTATAATCACAAGGCCAAACAAGTTGAGCTTTGTTCTGATCAACGCTTCCATTGAGTCTTCTTTCATTTCAACCATTTCCACCTCTGAACAGACGTCATCATCAACTCCAAAGATTCCATCGACTACTCGACTCTTATCAATCCCTACCCACAGTTGACCACTTCTGCCTCAGGTGGAGGCAGCTCTGGTTCTACTTGCGCCTGCCTCAGGTGGGTGCTTGTATGTCCATGTTTCTTGTCCCTTATCTTCAGTGCCCTCAATGGTGTTAACCTACGGCACAGATATACCAATTCCTACTGGCGCCGCACCTGCACCCAACGCTGCAAGTCCAGAAAACGTTGAGGTTCAGTGCTACAACTGTCACACGACTGCAACTCCTCTGCGGAGGAAGGACACTGAAGGCAAGACCATTTGCAATGTGTAAGTTCTCATTTGGTGTTCCTTCTATATTATCTTATATACATGCAGATGCAGCCTCTACTACAAGCTTCATGGCTCTGCTCATCCCATTAGTATGAAATCCGATATTATTCAGAAGCGCTCTCGACACGACGCTCGTGCGCTCTCCCTCCCCCTCTCAGATGTATCAATCCAACTGTCATCCGTCCCTGTAACTGACCAACTCAAAGATTTCCTTCACACGACCTCACAAATGCATTCCTACGACAGCTCACATATCCCATTCATCATAACCACCCCCCTCGTCCTCCTCCACATGAGCCTCGCAGTGCTGCACACACCAACCCTCCTGCCACGTGTAGGCGTGCATACTGCTGCCTATGTCGGTGTCTTGGTCGGCCTCATGTCCTTTTTCGCGGGCTTGGCTGTTTGGGGGGCATTGTCTTAGGTTTGCGTGGGTGCCACCTCTACCTCCTCGACCCACACTCTGAATCGCTACCCAACCTTCGTGCCTTGCCTTGCCTTGCCATGCCTTTCGCTTCTCTATTCAGGACCAAGCCCACAACTTTCAGCTGAGAAATACCACCTGCCAGATTAATACTATAATGTGAGTATTACGATCACCGTTTTTTTACCTGTATCACGATCAGTACACATGCGACCAATATTGCTGTTTATTATTATTATTATTATTATTATCATTATTTGGGAATTCCAGCAAGAACAAGCGACAAGTCTTGAAATTGTCTGAATTTACCTTGATACCCTTTACAATGCTTACACTATCATTTCATGGCCTTAAAATGTTAGGCTTATCATACGCCACCCAGGATCACTACAGTGCCTTAACATGATTTGGACAGACATTATAAGTGCCTTGAATTTTTTTGTACACCATTAACATGCATTATAAGTGTACCGTGTGAAAAGGTCCCTTAAAATGTCTTAAATTGAATTCGAAGGCTCGCTGGAAATTTCCGACAGTTATCCACCAAATTCAAATCAGTGGCTGATCCCAACATCGTGAAGATGCTGGTGACGATCCTTACTTGTCGTCATGGTATACTTCATTATCACGCACAAACTGGAGAGCTGACGACGTTTCAATGGTGAGTTTGCTGCCTTGATGGCAAGATGGTCATTACTCACGTACAACTGCTAGGCCAACTGACCGTTATGGGCAGAAAATTCATCCTTCAAAATTTGAGGCCTATCGCGCGGCACATGTGTTTCGCTACCCATGTTGCCTCTGTGCAATGGGTAGCAGGTATGTCGAGGTTTCTGTATCTTGGCATACCGAAGGGATATGCCAGGGAGAATTCGTAGCTGAATGCGCAACCAGTAGTTGCAGGTACACACGTAAGTGGGCTCCTTCGCGCATGAAGGAAAGTTGGTGATCATCCTAAAATCAGTCAATATCGAAAGAAATTTTGGGAGAATCTGCGTACCTGCAGTGTATTATCCTTGCAGAGGTAAATGTCCAAACTTATTGATGAAAGCACATGTCCATAACTATTCAGAGATCTCCAACCGTCCCGTATGATACCGCCGCATGCTTAGGAACCCGTATAGCTTAGTGGGATGTGCAGTCATGTTGGGACAAACATGGTAGTGAGATATTGGCTGTTAGACCGACTATATGACACCTGCACAGCTCATGTATTAGCATGTTGTCTCAACTAGAGAAGGTACATTAATTTACACTCGTTCAAATGGCAGCGCCAATGGTATATCGTTGTCATCAATGACACGACATACATGACCGAACTAGCTTCAGCATGACATCAGAGACAAGTGAATTGTGTTAAGTCAATATAATAATCTCACCGTCGCATTATGCGTGAGCAAAGTTTGCATACGTTCATTATTTTACTTTAGTAATGTCCTTGACCAGTGACATTAGCTCATGGCAATGACTTCACAGAAAAATGTAAGTAACCTTAGTACTATTTTGCAGGAGTCTAACGTATGGACGACTGCGACATTTCATTGACTCAATTATGTAAGTATGTACATAGTACTGTAACATCATAGTCATAAGGGCTACGGTCCGAGGCAAATGGGCGAAAAGAGAA